ACCAAACCAGTATTTGAACCCAGACCCACTGAACTATAGTATTAATTAGTATAAACAGGTACTCTACCAATAAAGCTATCTGACCACTGGCAGATGAAATTCTGACCATTTTTATACCAAGAAAATGTGTGATGCATGTTTCAAGGATTTTCATGAAGTCAATAAAATTAGGGAATAACTATCTTCTAATTTGGTATTGCAGCTTAATGCTGGAACGGTCGCAAGACATCGGCGACTCGTATAGCTCAGTGGTTAGAGCACCGTTACGAGCATTAATGGTCACAAATACCATATTAGAAGATTAGTTATTCCCATTCTAATGCAATCCATGCATTTTCAAGATTTTGTTTGTTGTTAACGTCTTATTTTGATGAATTTTATTACATGAAATCACGGAGCATTGTGTTTTTGCATCGCTCTATTATGACGTCACAATGAAAAAGATTTCACGCTCGTTAATGCTCGTTTTACTGCTTCAAACATCAGTGCATTGGCCAATCAAAAAGTGTTTTACAAAACTATTGCTTTAGAATTAAGCTTTTGGGGGAAAAATTGGTGAAACAAATTCGAAAAGTGGATAATACATGTATATATTCTCACCTGTGTGACTTTTGCAATAGGCTGATTGTTTGTTGGACAAAATGATGTCACCTCCTGTAAGAAAAATAAAACAGCTGATTTACTTGACATGTACCAGCCAATCAAATTTGTTCATTTACACACACCTCTCCTAAAATTTATTGTTTTCTCTTCGGAAAACAACAATGCTAAATAAATGCATATTATGGAAATTGAGAACGTTCATCTCTTTCACAAAGATCTAAAGAAACTATATTTATTGATAAAAAATAAAGGTTGATTTTTTTTTTTTTGTTAAATACATCAACACACAACATAAAGCCGTAACCATACCTCGCCTGTTCCTCCCCAAACTCCGTAAAACACTCCTTTGTTCGTGGCTCCCAGACCTAGATCCTTCAACCAGGAATACTTGGGGTCATCTATCAACATGCTGGACATCGCTCGAGTTATCTTGTGAGAAGCAAACGCGGATCTAGTGATAAGAACTTGTGCACGTCGTAAAATTGTCACAGTCGCCATTGAGAGGCCTTTGGATGAGTTTATTTGGAAAAGGGGGTTCAATGTCATATGGGTCACAGCATTTCGTTGTTTATTTATAATTTTAGAGTCTAAATCGTCAAAAAATGTATAATTCAAAGTTAAATAATTAAATTTAATTCATTTTATATGCTTAAAAAGGTCATCTTTATGAGTTGACAATATTGAATTAACAAAAACGTGCAATGTCCTCCCTGCATTTAATAGTTTCATCCAAGACACTATCTAAAATAAACACCTGTATGATAGGCCTAATTTTTCCCGGAGACTTTCATATCATAGGGACACATTTCTGGGCACACTAAAAAAAATAATCTGCCTTGTTGTGATTTCGGAAAGGGGACATTGTATTTTAATTTGCTGAAATGGATAGATGAGTAAGCATATATATGTGTATTTCAACTCAACAAAATGAGCAAACATATGATGATTTTTTAAAATAGGAGACATACTCATATATACTAAATTAGGCCTTTTTTAAATCACATTTTAAAGATGTTAATCTAGATGTACTATGAACACTGAACTCATTAAATGATACCCTCCCCCCCCCCCCCCGCCTCCCATATGATTATAAATGTCATTATTGTACAGACAGTATAAGGATGTCTGTCTAGCTGTATACGTCCGTCCATTTGTTTGTATGGTACTTCTTTATTTAAAGTTCACATGTTAGCAATTATTTCAACTTATGAACCATGTGTAAATTATTAAGTATATACATGTACTAAGAACACATCACATCTTATTAATAACTATTATATGCTCTGTTTAATAATCATGTATGTAATATGCCCACAAGGGCCCTGATCTGGAATAAATCTATTCTATTCTGTATGAACGTTTTGGGGTACTCATCTCTTATCTGCAACTCCTCCCACACCACTGAATAGAATTTATAATGATGCTTTCACAAATTCTTTCTAGCAAATACCATTGTGAACCTTTTATTTTCTTTTCTGATCTGACACTTATTCGGGTCTCACAGAGCAAAACATGAACTTTGCCATTATAATCATTTGGATGCGGAAGAGGGGGTGTCATTTAATGAGTTCAGTGCTCATAGTACCTCTAGTTATTATCTAGAAAGCACTTTAAAAAATAATTCAAAATGTGAAAACTTTCACGGATTGTCCTTGATTGCCGAAAAACCTAGGTTTCGACCCCCGAGAAACACTCGATCTACAGTGCACCAGCTTGGTTAATTGCCCCTAGATCCATTGACTTACTAAAAATATAAGCCTAGTTATGGCCTTGCCCCCTAGCTGATAATGCTTACTACGGGATGGACAGTTCACAAATATACCACACAAAGTCATATATGCATTTTCTTTGTTAACCTCAAACCTGATTTATTCGTTTATCGGGTATTGATTCAGCCATGTTAGCTGCAGAACTGTAGCGTTATGGTTTTATATACACCATATGCATTTGTCTTTACGTTATGGTCACAGTTCTGCAGCTACACCCATGTTGAAATAACTGATACCCCTAATTCATTTTTTCCATTTTTTTGCACATATATACTTAAGGAATCACTGTCTAGTTAGGAGGGTATGTCAAGGCATCAACAAAAGTGGGAAACATGGGATAATTTGCATGAAGCCCGTTATGCTTAAATTATACCATGTTTCCCATGTTATGTCCCTGACATACCCTCCTAGCGTTATATTTCCATTTCATTGTGAAATAAAATTGTAGATTTAGACTTTAAAAATGTAGATAAATAGATTTAAATCACATGATGACTTCCATGCCAATTTCAATAGTCCTCGCCAACCGACGTCAAACAGAAAGGCAGCCGCACGAGATTTACATGCATATTTGGCCTCCTTAGCGTCAGACACAGAGACAGATGCGCACGAGAATTGCATGCGTAATTAATTTTTTATCGACCTGCCTAATTTATATTCCGGTAGAATTATCAAGAAATAAACTACCCTTAACTTTCAAAGAGTTATCACAGAGAAAAAAATAGAAATGGAAATATTGACATATATACCTGATATCATTAATTCGTATCTTGAATAATATTGATGTTGTTTGTAGATGTACTGACAATTAAAGGAATTAATAAATAATGTACGAATTTATTGATTAAGATGGCCCAATCCAATGATTAAAGATGGTCAGAATCTCACCATTATGAAGCAGGGGAAATTTTTTTTCACTTATAAATGGATATTAATTTTTCTTTGTTTAACAATTAGTGGAGCATACAGCACATACAAAGGTTTGTTTTATCGTAGAACATTTAAGATAAAAACCTCGTGTGATTGTCGTGATAAGTTAGAGAGCGCATTGTATTGTAATGTCCAAGGAAAATAATGGCAAATACAATTTTAGTTGGATTTTCAGAGAGAACTCATATTATGTAGTTAATAGGCCTACTAACTTTATATCAGTAATATCCTATGAAGATTTGTTGTAATATTTATTAATTTAGGATCGTAAAATCTTTTTGTCATTACATGATTTGATATTTTTCGGAACTAATATTAATTTTAATTACTTGTACATTCAGATTATCCTATATCAATTGAGTTTTTATGCTACTTCACTTTTTATCTTCTTTTCCAAGATGTTTTATTCATTCTCGAGTCATCAAGTAGCATCTCTCAAGAAAATTTTGAAGAAGTAGTCGATTTCGTTGCAAACGTGACGTCATGGCTCACAATTGGACGGAACGATACCCTCGTTTCTCTGATTACCTATGCTTCAAATGTAACAGAACAGTTCCCATTGGCTACATATTCCACCTCTCTCGATTTAATACTCGCTATCCAATCACTGAAGTCCATCGTGCCAACAGGCGGTACCTTCACCCATCTGGCTCTGAATTACAGCTATACACATACCTTTGGACATAGAAATGGAACTACCAAGACAGTTGTAGTTCTAACATATGGGAAGCCTGTTAGTCAAATGGAGACCCAGCAAGCAGCAGACGACCTTCGGTCGATGGGAGTGGAGGTTTATGGGGTGGGAGTGGGTAGTGATATCAGGGATTCTGACCTACAGGCCATTGCTAACGATCCCGCCATAGATTATATCTATCACCTGGACGACTTTATGTACCTCTGTAATGTCATTTCAGACATCGTCCTCAAACTAGGTAGATACATATCTAGGAATGTAACCAACAGATATACATGTCAATATTAACACCTTTCTATTTTATACATTAACTTTTTCTAGATTTTATAACAGTTTTCTCAAATATCCAGTTAATAAATTTTAAAGGAGAACCTAAGTTACAAGTCACTTTCACTTTTTTTCCTCAAGAAGATTTGAACAAAATTTAATGTTACATTTAATTTTACGTAAATGGACAACCTCAATATCTAAACCATATACTAGTATATGATTCCTCGATACCCAAAAAAAATCTTACGCATATAGGGTCCTTAAACAAATCTATACTGTGTATCTGCAGAGAAAGTGAAAAAAAATTCACATCGACTTGCACAATACTAGTACCTACTGAGTATATGTGAATAAAGATAAACATTACTTAGTGCGTTTTCTTATACCCCCCGCTTGAAAAGCGGGAGGGTATATAGTAATCGTTAATTCCGTCCGTCCGTCCGTCTGTCCGTCCGTCCGTCTGTACGTCCGTCCGTCCGTCTGTTACGCTTTAGGGTACCCATCTCTTATCCGCAACTCCTCTTAAACCATTGAGTGAAATTTAATGAAACTTTCACAGAATCTTTATTACATATTGCCATTGTGCACCTCCTATTTTACTTTTTGATCCGACACATATTTTGGGTTTCCCGACCACAGTAAAACATGGACTTTGTCATCAGTTATAACCATATGGGAGGCGGGGGGTATCATTTAGTGAGCTCATTGCTCACAGTACCTCTAGTTGATTCTAATATCGCACAAGTTATGGTTCCTTCCCAACCAATGCAATTATGAAAATACACAAGAATGCTCTTTATTTTAGCAATTTACTTATACAATAAGAGAGACAAGTTATGCTAGTAATTGCTTTGACTGTTAAGTAAAATATTTGTTGTATTCATTTCCCAGATAATTCTACAGTACTGATCACAGACGAAAGTTGTCCTGAAATAACAACAACATCAACAACGACGACACAGGCAACGACAGACGAAACGATAACGACAGGCGAGACGATAACGACAGAGGAGGCAACTTCTCTCCCAGAAAGTACAACACCAGGTAAATGTTGTTGGTATGCACATCTAATACTGTGCTCTGTTGAATGGTATTTTTATCATAGCTTCTAGACAAGATCAATTAAGAAGCACTTATAAAAGATACCAATCTTCAATGTTAATTGATATTGGACTATCCTTAGCTAACTGATAAGCCTGCTCACGGCTAAAGTGACCAATAACTTTGTCATAACTTTGTCATTTCAAACTAATGTCGCAATGATGACTTTGTCAAAGCATGATACCCAAATTCGTTTGTCTTCTTGGTCGCTTGAAAGTCCAATAATATCATTCAATCCATGATCCTTTGTCATTATGTACTGCAGAAATTTGCCATTCTTGTCTAATAAATGAACTCGATCTTCATGGTCTCCGACAAGTATGCTACCCAACGTACTACAATCAATGCATTTTGGTTCAAATTTCCCACCATTGAGACCCTTATACGTAAATTTTCTTTGACCGTCTGCGGCTACTGCAATCACGCACTTCTTCGCCATATCCACCACTACAATGTCTCTTGTCACGCTGGAGGCGACTTTAGCGGGGTTTTGAAACATCAGCCGCCTTCGCTCATCACTACATATTTGTTGGAGCGATTTTCCCGTGCAGTCGTACCGCACAATTTTGCCAAACTGGTCCTCTTTGTGGTACAGACATGCCAAAATTTCCCCATCTTCGTTTACACACAGTCCCTGCGCATGGAAAGGACTGGTATCGATAAACCGGGTAAATGATCCATTTTTCAGTTTCTTTATCTCCATGTTCCATGTGCTCATGTAAAGATCTTTGCCGAGCTTGGAACATGCGATGTTGTACGGCGTTATTTCCACCTTGATGCTGGCTAAAACTTTTCCAGATATTGTGACGACCTGAACGATTCTCTCCTCTGTTCCTATCATGGCGTTTCCATTTCCGGTAGTACATATACTGTAAATCCCATTTCGAGCTTTCTGTGTGAAGCTGGCAATGACCTGGGCTTTTACGTTAAGAGGAAACGCAACGGTTGTTCGGCGTCTCGTTAACACTGGTCTTGGTTCGTATTCTAGGGTTCCAAACACCTTACAGAAATCTTCATCTTGTTTGCCAGAAACAAATTCAGGGGGACATATTTTGTCAGGTCCGGTTTCAGCAGATGGTAATTTTAGTTTTTCTACTTTCCGCTCAGTCTCTGCACACGCATCAAGCAAACTTATACCACTTTTGTTTGATAGGTTGTTTCTGCAGAAGTGAATTGTTTCTGCCACTCTCGTTGAAAGATTTTGCAGCTTGAATTGTTTTCTATTGATGAACTGCAAGTCCACTTCTTCTTTGGTTTCAATTTCTTTAAGCATACTGTCAGTGATGTTGTCTAGTTCAAATTTCAACTTCTCGTTTCTCTCTTTAATTAATTCCCTCCTCAGCGCAGCACTGGATACATACTCAACCTTATTTTCTTCAAGGTTTTCTGTCATTTTTCTCGCTTTTTCAAGTTCATATTTTTCAAGGTGTTCGAATTTCTTTCTCAATTGGTTAAATTTTTGCTCAGCAGCATCATCGATATTTGAAATATTGTGAGTTTTGTGAATTGTCCGAACACATACGTGACATACAAGCATATCACATAGATTGCAGTACAATTCACACACCTGTTCTTCGTGAATACGACAAATGTGCAATTCGATATCATCTATGTCAATGGCGTCACTTCCGGATTCCATTTCGTCATCTTTGTCTTCCCGAAGAAGCCATATTCCATGCTGTTTACTAGCATTACTTCGGGAGTGTAACGTTTGACAATTATCACACAAATTCTGAGCACAATCATGGCAAGCCCAGTTCACAAGGAAATATGAAAAACATAGATCACATTTAACATTAGTAGAACCTGATATGTCAGGAAGCGCTTCTGCCATCTTCATACGAGTGAATGAATGAGAAACTCAAGCGTCTCGTCGTGTTATGTTTTCCCTGAACATGACTGCAGCGAGTGCTTACCAGGGAACTGTCAGCCAGTAACATGGGAGCAGGTTTCCCTGGTCCTTGTAACTCAATTAGTCGTCGCAATCGTCAGAGTGACGTTTTCCGCCGATGGTCAGACATAAAGATAAACATCTACAGACCGTTACTCTATCAAGTCTTCTATTCTTATGTTTATATAAACACTTACGTTTCTCCTATTTATTAACGTACATTATCATTTATTGATCTTTTTTACTCAGTGTTAAATGCTCAAGTCTAATTAATGCTTTGCAAAGTGAACTACACGTAAGCAATACTTTTTATTAGCTTTTTAAAAGGACTTTCATCTAATGTCTGCTGCAGTATTCCTAATTGCGCTTATATTAGGCCCCTAAAATAGTGCCTTTTTGAACATAACCAATGTTATTAATCGTAGATAAAATTAATCTTCGATGTAACCTCTGTAAACTTAGGAAATTTATTTTTGATTGGTACATGGTGATTACCGGGTAGACGTGACACAATAATGTACGTGAAAGCATATATATATAGAGAGAAAAAAACCCATAAACAACCTGTATCTCAAACGACCAATTGTATCTTCAAGTGTGATAAATATTGACACGAATATCATTTGTTTTGCATATGTTTAGAACAAATAGGTGTGAATTGTAGCATTTTCGACGTTTACCTGCGATTACAGGTCAACACACACAGGTTTTCGTAAATAGACTTGAAATATTTAGCGTGTTTGTCTTTTTGTTTTCATCAAAAGTTACCTGAGGTATGCCAGAGTACTGAGGTGTATAAACTTGCTCTTGCCATTTTCTAAATAAAAAATATAAAGCAAATAAATAATTTCAAGAAGCATTTTTCATTCCTAACTTTTTTATGGTTTCAATTTTACATGCATCAAGTAGTGACGTTTATTTCCATTAATTCGTCTTATAAGAATGATATTTTAAAAGTTATATCTATTACCGAAGAAAATATTTTAAATCAAAATAAGAAAAAAAGAATTGTTCAGTATTATAACGAAAAGAAACTTTAAGGGAAAAGACTGGTGAAAATAAGATAAAGCCAGGTCATTAAAAAGGGTGTAAAAAGGCGAAAGATGATTGACTGGTATATTGTTTTACGTACCGTTCGAGAATTTTTTCGGTTTAAGGCTTCAAAGTTAAATCTTTATTTAAAACTCAGGGTCATTGAGAAGTGTAGCTGCTGAACTGAAGCGTTATAGATTTGACTACTATATAAAACCAAAACACTACAGTTCTGCAGTTATTAGAGTCGTGAATTTTTATCGTACCAACGCCTTTCGTGACATGTGGCCTCGGATTTTAAGGTCTCATCCGAATAAAAGGACCTGCAACTTTTATTTCAAAGTGCGGAGAAATTGGCGAAGGGATAGTTGCTACTTGTTTTTAGCTCACCTGAGTAAACTATTGCTATAATTATGTTTTCGTCCGTTGTCGTGGGTCACGTGTGATAACATTTGAACATATTCAGCTTCTTCTCTGCAACCGCTCAACTAATTTCAACCAATTTTCGCACAAAGCATCTATGGGTGAAAAGGAACAAAAATTTTGAATTTCGTGGTCCCAGCCCCCCCCCCCCCCCTTGGGACCGGAGGGTGGGACCAAAATCACTAAAATTAATGCAGTCTTTAAAAAAATCGTCTTCTTTAGTCCTGGACATCAAGCAGTCAAACTGTCGCTGTTGCCATGATTTAATTTAAGCATTGAGTCCTCTACCAAAGTTTTGAAATTCATTGCCCCAGGGTCAGGGTTTCTAGTGCTAGAGCTGAGCCATATAGATTATATATAGTGAATTGCATTTATTCTTTGAAAATCTTCTCTGCTTCGATATTCTTTGTATTATTGAGTAAACAAACTGACTGTATACTAAGTACATAGTTATGATGTAGAAGGGTGCCTCTTCTAAAAATGTGAATTTCATTGCCCTAAGGTCAGGGGTTCTGGTGAAAGGGCGGAGCTATATTGATTGTCTTGTGAAAATGTATTTGAAAAATCTTTGAAAATCTCCTTTTCTGCTCCTTGTTATTAAACAAATTCACATTATATATAGAAGTTATGATGAGGAAGAGTGCCTCTTCCAAAATTATTTATTTCATAGCCCCTGGGTAAGGGGCTCTGGTGTATTTAAATTATGTAGTTAAAATGCATTAATTCTTTGAAAACCTTCTTATCTGCTCCTGGGTATTAAGCAGATGAACTACCTATATACCTACCTATATAGCTATGATGAGCAACGGTCCTTCCTCTAGAATTGTGAATTTCAAGGCCCCCGGGTCAAGGGTTCCGTAGAAGGGGGCTCTAATTATATACTGAAAATGAATTAATGCTTCGGAATCTATTCCTTGGTATTAATCAAACATTTACGATGAGCAAGGGTGCCTTTTCCGAAATTGTGAAATATGTGGACCCAGGATCAGGGGTTCCTGTGGGGTTGGGGCACTACTGATTATTGCTGAATGTTACTGATTAGTGATTAGTCATAGGATTAATGCATTATTCTGTTCCCCTACTCTGTCCTTGAGTATTTAAATTGTATGTAGGGATGTAGTTCGAAATATCTGACGTTTTCCAGGCTTTTTTTTTTTACGATTTTGCTATTTTACGTGCCAGGAAAACGTCAGAACCGGCGCCATTATGAAAACTGGGAAATCGCCACCTCCAACCGGAGGCGGCATTCTCGAGTTGATTTTAGAGACTTGCGAACTGAATTAAATTTCAAAGTCACAAGTTATCAATAGTACAATACTTTTAGTACTTACCAAGAGGATAAGGGAGTATAATGAAACAAACGTGTTTCATTATACATTTATTGACTTAGCTCGAGGGCAACATGCGTTTTGTCGGACCCAAGAATCAAAATGTCTGCCTGAGGTCGTTAGGCCGAAGGCAGACAGTTTGGTTCGAGGGTCGACAAAACGCATTTTGCCCGAGAACATAGTCAATAAATGTTTTGTTATACCTTTAATTAAATTTTTTTTTCTCCCGTGATATAATATCAGGTTCGTCAATTTTGAACAACTATACGAATGTAAATGAGATTCAGTTCCGCCCATTCTGTGATGCAAGCGGTCCAACATCTCATCGACCGGTACAACATCTCACTCAGCGGCCCAACATCGATTTTTTTTTATGCCCGCTCAGCAAAACATTAGAAATGTTAGACTTTTTTTCTATAAATTTTCAAAGGTATAACAATACTTTTTATTTCTTGGATTTGGAAGAGGATATATGTATTTTGTTCTGCCTTGATGTCCAGCTTTTAAAAGAATATATTTTCAATGTTACCAATTTTAATTAATTCTTCTGCGGTGCCAAAACCCTAGACTAATCATGCGACATCCACTTTGCAATTTTAGTGGAAGGCTTATTTCTCAATACACTCCTGTATTATTGTTTCCCTGTATGGTGTCTAAGAGAACAGAAAAAAAATAATTTCCCAAAAAAGAGAAGAAAAAATGACAGGAAAGTCCTGGGTCTGAATCATGGATCCATGGCTTAAAATAAAATTCTCCGTAAAACTCTACCCTTTGGCTACATATTCAGAAGTCTTAAAAAATATGAATGCGCTTAGAGGGATTTTTCGTGTTTTCATTTGATATAACATGCAATTTTCGAAATATTGCAATCACAAAATCATTTATTTTATGAACTTTTATGCCCCGTAATTGAAGATTCGGAGGTATAAAGTTTTTGCTCTGTCCGTCCGTCTATCTGTCTGTCTGTCCGCAAAAACTTTAACCTTACCCATATCTTTTGAATGAGTGCGGCTATGGCTTTATTGTTATACCTTTAAAAAATTGTTCTTAAAGTATATAACATTTCTAATGTTTTACTGAGCGGGCTTAAAAATATCGATGTTTGACCAGTCGATGAGATGTTGAACCACTTATGTCACAGAATGGGCGGAGCTTAATCTCATTTTCATTTGTTGGTGTTTAACAGTGAGGGGCCTGAGTTTACATCACGGAAGACAGTAAAAAATACATGTACGTCAAAAAAAATAAATAAATAAAATGAAAGATATAACAAAACACTTCTTGACTACCGGTCTTGTAGAGTAGGCTTTCCCCCTTAAAATCTCCCCCCCCCGGAAAACTGGCTCTAGAGTAGAATTTTCTCCCGGAAAACTGGCTCTAGAGTAGGATCGCCCCTCCCCCCCCCCAAGAAAACTGGCCCAGGAAATCTCACACCGGAGTCAATTTTCCGGGGGGAAATCCTAATCTGTGTAGTAGTTATAGAGTGCGATTTCCCCCTGAGCCAATTTCCCCCCTAATGAAATACAATTGCTCTACTTATTCTTAAGCAGGAATGAGTGGCACATAATAAGTGTCCCTTCTTCAAAATGGTGACCAGATGTATTGAACATACGTATATGAAAATTGAACATGAAAATTTTAAATCCGTCAAAGCATTTTTTAAAAATCAAATAAATTGATGAAACTGGAGAGGACTATAAGTTTCATCTGCGTCTGTCCGTCCGTCCGTCTGTCTAACTGTCTAAGTGTCCTTCTGTCTGTCTGTGTGTCTTAAGTAAACGGTTTTCTGCACTATTTTCTAAATGCTTGAAGACATTGAGCTGATTTTTGGTATAGGAGTATATCTTGAAGAGTTCAAGTTTGAGTTTAGTTTTGCTACCATTTTTAAAGGAATTACGACCTTTTCATTTTTTAACGGTTTTCCGCAATGTTTTTCGAAACGATTGGAGATATTGGTAGATGAATTTCAAGTTTGCATTTCGTTCCACTTAAAAATATATACCAATCCAGACATCCATTTTTTGTTTGTTTCATCATATTTTGAGAATATTTACATTTCTTTTGAAAGCTATATATTTTGGTTGAGATTCCATGATACATGATTTGAAATATATGCTTAGAGAATTCTTACAACATAAGTCTAAAAACACTCATACATGTTTTAAAAATCAGCTTGCCGTTTATCTTTTTTTTTTATATTGCGGTTGTGGTTTATATTGACTCTATATAAAAAGGGGGAAAATCCTACTCTGAGAAAGAAAAAGGGGGGGGGGGCTCTGGTGTGAGATTTCCCCTCGGGGGGAAATCCTACTCTAGAAAAGCTAGCTATGGGGGAAATCCTACTCTACAACACCGGTATTTTCTCGGGCAAAATGCGTTTTGTCGACCTCGAACCAAACAGTCTGCCCTCGAAATTAGTCATTAAATGTATAGTATTTCACAGGTGTATTCCTCGTGACAAGGCATTTCTTTTGGGTAACACAGAATTTGACCTCTTGATTTTAGAGTATGACCCACTTTTATAACTTTGGGTTCCACAAAATTTGACCTCTTGAACTTCACCTTTGAGTTTGCTCACTTTAAAAAAAAAACTTTTTGACATAAATTTTGGATAGTCAGTACGGGGTTTTTCATATTTCACAAGTGTATTTCATAGAATAGGACCTGCTTTTGGAAACCAACATTTTTTTTTTACCTTGACTTTGGAGTTTGACTTGCATTTGAAAAACTTCAATCCCCCACTTTAAGCTGCCATACGTGGGCATCAGTGTTTCAAAAACACATCTTGTTTTTTTTTTTTTTTTTTGAATGCAGATGTTCTCTCTTTTCATGTCCGTCCTTCAACAAAATGGTGATATTCCTACTTCTTTGTTCTTCAACATTACATGTACGTAATTATAAAAAAAACCCAACTTAATAGAGTGTATTCCAAACATTTGAAGTATGCCATCTTGAAAGTCGTGATTTAAATTGAAAAGAATATCGTGTTTACTGAATTTTTACCAATCAACTGTATAGAAAACTTCCGTTAAATAAACAATTAAATTCAAACAACGTATTTTTCAACAAATTCATAAAATATTTTGGCAAAGGTTAAAGATTTTCAAATGCAAGTCAAACTCTTCTCAAAACCACGGGGAAGAAAAGCTGTGCAAACGTCCCATGGCAATGAAGAATCTCTATTTTCCAAATCATGACCCCCCCCCCCCGGGGGGGGGTAGGGGAGCCATTCAAAATTAATAAGTAACTGTGTCAACTATAATTACAGACACCAAGTATCTAAAGTTTTGAGAAATTAGGCATTACTTTCCTATTAACAACAGTGTAATCTAGGTATTACAAGGGGAGGGGCTGGTAAAGTACTGCATGGCCAAACTCAGGTGAGCAATTTGGTCCATAGGCTCACATATTAACAATTTTATATTTTTTTTCAAACCCTCTCCTTTTCATCTATACCCAAAAATAACATCAGTCCACCCCATAAACACCCCAAAGAATTTTTAAGAAAAAACCTCTATTTTTAAACTGGAACTCGTTAAATTTGTACCAAACTCCAAGGTCAAGGCCAAGGGATCAACATTTTAAAAGATATCCTTGGGAAGGTCTTGTCAAAAAGATACAGTTTTATACTAATCTGAAATAATATAGTCCTAGTCCCAAACGTTCAAAAGTTATAGCCAAAGTTACAGTTTTTTCAAAACTAGGTCAAACTCCAAGCTCAAGGTAAAAAGGTCAATTTGTTCCTAACAAAGGAAGGTCTAATTGCAAAAAAAAAATACCAGTTCAAAAGATATGTCCAAGGTTGAAGTTCATTTAAAGTCGGTCAAACTCTAAGGTCAAGGTCACAAGGTAAAAAAAAATATCTACATCAATGGAAAGGCCTTATCACAATAAATACACATGTGAAGTATGAAAGCTCTAGTATCAATTGTTCAAAAGATATGGCCAAGATTAAAGCTGGGTTATTTCTTGCAAAGTGGTTCAAACTCCAAGGTCAAGATCAAGTGGTCAAATTTTGTAGTACCAAAAGAAAAGTCTTGCCACAAGGAAAACACGAATGTGAAATACGATTATCATAGCGATAGCTTCAACCAGTCAAAAGTTGTGGGCAACGTTAAAGTTTTTGCGGACAGACAGATAGACGGACGGACAGGGCAAAAACTTTAAATCCCCGAATCTTTAATTTGGTGACAGGGCATAAAAATCCTACATTTTATTAGCATGAAGAAGGGGAATAACTCCATTTTTTCTCAGCTTGGAGAAAAAGAATATTGAGTTATTCACCTTTCCAATGTGTCTGACCTGTTGCAGCGGGGTCCTAGAAACTATTTTTTGCCCCCGTAATCGAAGATTCAGGGGTAGCCTATATAGTTTTTAAAAAAGTTTTTTTCCAGGTTCGTCCGTCTGTCTGTTTATCTGTATGACCGCAAAAAGTTGAACCTTGTCCATAGCTTTTGAGTGAGTTGGGCTATGCGTTTTATTTGTGGAAAAAAAATCTTTCTAAGTCTACCACCAATTATGACCTCCTGACCTCGATCTTTGAGTTTGAACCGCTTTTATTAAAATTTTTCAAACTTTTCTCATAACTGTTGAACAGCTGTTGCTAGGGCTTGAATACTTCACATGAATAATTATAAATTGTGACAAGAACTTTCAAAGGGTATAAATATTTTTGATTTTTTGACATTGACCTTAGAGTTTGATCCACTGCATCGTGTATATGCATATTTAATTACATTTTCAAAAAAGTTAAATATTGTAAATCCATGCTAAGATGCGCTCAATAGTTCAATCAAGACTTGACTGTAATAAATTGTCAATTGATAAGTCAGTTTTAAAGTTTAGAATTTATTGTAAGTCCACCGCTTATGAAAAGACAGAGGTCAAGGAAAAAAATCAACGAAATCGTAGTAAACCAAATGTAGTTGATTACGGGATTTATTTCACTTGTGAGACATTAAAAAAGCACTTGTGTTTCGCAATCGTTATGAGGTATATATAGGGCCTAATGTCTAAGTATGAGCTGAGAAAAGATTAATTGTGATCTCATTTGTGATTTTGTTTAAAGTTGCTGTATACATATTTAGTTTTTTTTTGGGGGGGGGGGGGGTATATTTCCAAATTATATGGAGAATATTTAATTTACATTTACGTTGATTAAGCCTAGAACATGTGTACCGTGCTGTCAAAAGTCTGGACATTTAAATCGTCCTTCTAGTCCTTAGGGGGTGCCGTATTGACAATAACAATAATTACACAAGCGATGTAAATAACGACTTATTAAATTCCCTGTCAATACCTATCTACAATTTTGATCCGGAAAGTGACGTCTTCAAGTCATAAAATTTCTTAACGCTTGTTGTTGCTTAGCTACATTATGCCAAATCTAGCGACATTGAGCTTTCCGGGTCACTGAGAAAATTTTCACCCAATCGTATCGTGCGATACCCGAGTCTCGGTCACGTAAGCGTTTGAATGAGCTAGTTTCGGTGTGCATGCAATACTTAGAAGACAGGGAGACTTGTTACACAAGATTTTCGCGATTTCTATTATTTATAAAAGAGGAATGTAGAATCATTATGAATTTTCGCAAGGGAGAATTAAACGGTGTCGGTATGTGATGAAAATTAAGCGCTGGATCGCTTAAGATAGTAAACTTAAGAAATGCAAGGAAGGTTTCGTACACAACGAATTTTCATTTTCCACATTGCGTGTGTTTTGTTATTAGAACTTGGTAAGTGCAGTGAACAAATTATTTTATCACTATGTTGGTTATATAAATATTGACAATTGTTTGAAAAAAACGAAATTAGTTTGCATGCACATAGTCATAAAATTTTGAAAATATTCTTGAAATGAATGGGACCAAAGACATAAATAACATATTGAATCATTTGTGTGTCAGTTATGGGACAGAGGAAAAAAATATCGTTAAAACTAAATGCAATGACTCCTTGATAGAAATGATATAGCTGAACTTGATAACAATCACATTGTTTTATACAGATTTGAACCAATTGTGCCAAAAATTGTGTATTATTTCATGATTTTTCCCCCCAAAACACAACAGTATCGATTAATTACATGTTGTTTTTATTTAAGGAATGAAGCTTATTTCAACTTTTGTTGTACAATATAACATAACTTGGGGCAGTTTACGCTTAAGTTTATAAACCGCGAAGCAGTTTATAAAAAAACGTAAACTGTCGAAGTTATGTTATATCATATAACATAAGTTGAAATAAGCTTCATTCCTTATAATTTAATTTCAGTGTAGACAATGAGACAATTTTTCCTCTGGAAAAAGGCTTCAAATATAGCATATTTCAAAAGTAATGTCAAGCGGAGTAATACGTTTTTTTGATGCAACTCATTGTGACGTTGGCAAGTTATGTTATACAAAATGGATAAAATCTTTTATCCAATCAAATGATGTCTTACAACTAAAATTAAATTATTATGATTTGAAAAAATATCTTAAAACTATATCTATAGGTCTTTATTTAAAAAACTACCTTTTTTATCAAGGTTTTTCATGAAAAAAAAAATCAAGAGAATAAATGGACTTAAATAAAAAAAAAAAAAAATGAAGCATTAAAAAAACAAATGTTCTCAGTGTTACATCACAGACTGGCATGTGCAAACAGGTTGAAAATATTCTTACGAAATAAACATATTTTTTTTTATAAAAACCTAATCAGCATTAATCTTATTAAACATGCTTTACATCATCAGACTACAAACTACAGTGGTCAATATTATTCCTTTATCGTGTTAATAACTGTGATGTTAGACAATCAGTGTGTAAAGGGCTGATTTTCTAGTGTTTTTTTGTTTGTTTAATATTTAAAGCCAGCTAACCCTAACTCTTTGTGAAACTAATGATAATGATAATTTAATTTTTGAATTAACTAATGAGCAGTCAAAATTCAGATATTTTTAAAATACATATACTAGCATATTTTTTAAATAGATCTTTCAAACATTTTCAAAAATCCTGAATATAGCAAAGTTGTAATTCAATGCTTGTTGGTTTTATTAATTTAAATATTCTTAGAATTCAATTCCATACAGTCTACAAAAAACCCCACACATTTTATAACCCTATATGACCAAAAGTGAGTCACAATTAATTTTTTTCACTATATATTTCATTGAAAAACAAATTTTTATAAAAACTTGTTGTGAAGTCAATTTTAGCTGAATTTCCGTGATTCTTTCACTGAATCATGCAAAATTGTTTAAATTTTTCTTGTCTTAAAATTCTAAAAAAAAAATGACTCACTTTTGGCCAGGTGCTGTAGCTTATTTTTTGTTAGGAAATTCAAATTAATGTATACAAATTTTATGCCATTGGAAAGAGCTTATTAAAACTTATATAATATTTTTATTTTTTGTTTTATTAAGATATCTTGATTAGAACAAAAGTTATGGCACTTTAAAGTTGCAAAATTTCAACTGTTTTCTATAATTTTTGCCTTTTTTGGCTGTAGATACAAATGATAGGGGTCAAAGCGCTTGCTGATGGACCTGGCACATACCAAAAAAATAGTTATTTCCATCTAACTTATTTATTCCTTGGCAGATTTTTATAAAACTTGGTACCCTGACTGAGAAAGTTCTGCTCTCTTTGATTCTGCTAATTTTATTATTTTTTTTTTTGTCTTTAAGAATTTATATAGGATGTGGCATGATATGATTTAGAGTAGCAAATATTGCAGTAAGCTTTAACTTTTATTATGATATATTTTATAAGTGGTAACGTAAAACATAAATATATTTATTTACACATATATGCTGAAGATTCACGAATGTACTTAAAAATAATAAAGGTATGAAACCAAGTGCTGGTTCCAAAACAAGTATTAATATTTACCAGAACTGAGCTATTTCAGAATTATTAACTGAATGCTGTCTTGTGTTTCAGACTTGACCACTGCCCAGTGTAATTGTTCGACCGACTGTGTGACTAATTGTGCTGCTGGACAGTACTATAGTAGTAGCTCATCATCATGTGTCACGTGTGAGACCGGTCATTAGTAAGTACTAATTAGAATATGTAAACCCCCCCCCCCCCCAAAAAAAAAATTCTTTCCCTGCCATATTTCACACAATTCACTGTAAAGTCTTAAAAAGTTGGAGAAGAGGATATTTAAGTTTTCCCAAGTTTTTATTAAGACTTATTTCCAAGGAGGCTCAGTGTTCTACAGTATTCTGCAAGGATATGATAAATACTGGTATCTTTTAGAGCAAGGTTAGATTTAATCAAACCATTTTGAAATTTATTTCTACCATATTGAAAAGTTAAAAGGAAATAAATAAAATGAGAAGGAATTTAAACACCATTAAATAGGCCTTTATAGCTCAGATTTATTTTTAAAATGTTTGTTTTAGGATTTTACATTTTGCTTTAATATTAGCTAAAGTATACATGGTCCCTGCTTCTGTGTATCTGTCTATAGGATAGTGCATACACCAGGAATGCACAGACAGACACACATACAGTCAGATCAGATATATTTGTTAAATCAGGTAATTTAAACAGCCTGTTGCAGTGTCCATTATCATTATGTAAATGTGTAATAGAAAGATGTGGACCAAATCCTTCTTTAAATCTATACTGAAAGAACTTCAATTCAGTAAGATAATATTTTCTGTGGCGTGATTCAATAATTATTGAATTTTACTGGGCTGAATGCAGCATGACACTTAGTTTTGTCGAACAAATTGATGATGCATAGCAAAAAAACACTTGTATTTCTTGATTATTGATGGTTATGTGAGAAATTTTAAAATTTAAGTTGTATCATGTTATATTTTGCTTCTTAATATGGGTTTTGTAATGGACGAGCACAATTTCTGCATTTTTTTATTACATTCAGCTAGTTTTTTTTTCTGTTGTAAGTTGTAGATAATTTTGAGGACAAAATACTCCTAAATTATTTGATATTACTCTAATTTTAACATGGTTTAAACAAACCCAAAAATTCAAGCATATAATTTCTGCTTATTCTTTAAAGATAAAGAAAACTGTAGGGTTTTGAAATTTGGATTGAAGTCTAATCTTAAGGATCCACTCTACATTGTTTCTTAAGTCAACCAATTAAGGACCAGTTATTTTCTTGCATAATATACCTTATATTTGGAAAAAACTTAGTTTCTTGTGGTTGGGTTTGGTAACGAGTGAGCAAATAGCTTTCAAAAATACAGTGTTGTATTTATCAAGGAATTGGCTGTAGTGTAATATTCGAAGTTTTATTGATTTTCTTGCTTTGTCTTAGTGGAAAGTTTTATTAAATTAAACCTTGTATCATTCAAATCTTGACACCTGACAAATGATTTAAAGAATTTATAAACCTTGATACACAGAGAAAAAAATCCACAGGTACAGGGCTGAGTTCTTAAGATTGCAGTACATGGTATTATCGATAAATGCACCAAGATAGAACAAACCCCCCTCATTAATCTTTAAAGTGTGCAACAAGGAAGTCACTGCTAATCACCATTGCTTTACCTGAATTCCAACACAACAATCTCTTGCGTTTGGTTCATGGTTCTGTTCACATATATTGATAAAGCTATTGATACGCATGAGAAAGACATTAGTCAATGCTTTAATTTTATATATATAGACAACTGACACTTTCAAATGCAAATCCTACTCTTTATAGTATGGACACATTGATTGGTGTGTATCTGTTGGATGAGTCCTAGCTAATGATTCATTACAAAGGATACACTTAGATTGATTTTAATACAAAGATAAAAATAATGGCTACATATTCTGAAATAAGTATTTATCGGCTGTGTTTGATTGCATATGCAATTTATCTTTGATGTTTATGAGATTTCTACTTTTTTTTATTTCCATGGTCTGTTAAAGTTTATAAAAAATAAAGATGTCTTGCTTATGAGTTGACCATAGATGCCACAATGATACTGCGCATGCTTTAAAATGTAAATTATTTTTCATAATCGGGTCTGCTGATATTTGCTCTCATGTATAGGGCTTTCAACCTTGTGAAGTTGGTGAAGTGTTTGCTAAACAGAAAGTCCAAACCGTTTAGCATTTATTCAGGCTGATTTATGGATCAACCAACTAAGTGTAGGGTATAATCTGTCAACAAAGATTCCTTGCTTATAAAAGTAGACATTGTCTTATAAGGAAAGAAAGCTCTAATAAACTAGCACATCTGTGTATTTGGTAAACACGAAAAGAATTCAGCTTTAGTTGGATGTTACCAGTCAAATCTATGTTTCAAAATTTCAATTCTTGAGATTATCATGAAAATACATGTACACAAATGGTGATATTTTGCCCTTTATTAATAACAGCCAGTGCATGATCACTAAAAGAATTCCTACCATTTTTAAAATTTATACATTTGTTACTTAGTTTGCATCAGATTCAAATAATTTGTAAGATTTTCTCCTTTTTAACAGGGAGCCAGTTATCATTATATCATACACTGATATGTGATCAAAATAAGACCATGCATCTGCACAGGCTTTGTCAATTGATTATCCAGACATCAAACATGACAATTCCAATGAACTGCATTTGAAACTGAGGAAGTTATCGAGATAAAACGTATTAGAGACACTTGATTTTGATAAGTTTTTTCCCGAGTTGTTCTTAAATGCCAAGGGTCTTCATGGATACCTTGGAATCAAAACTATGTATGTTATGACCAGCTCTGAAAAATGCATCAATCATTTTATACCTCTTAAAATAACTGAGTGTTGCAACAAGCATCATGTCCTCTTATTTATTTCAAACAAATCACTCTGTGTATTTATTTCATCTTTAAGAGCTTAGGTTTCCACAATATTGTTAATAGTGTTTTTAATATTAAGGTTTTTGAAGGACATTTGTTTTCAGTCAAGGTGTGAAAAGAATTATTGAAAGGTATAGAGACTTCATAAAAAGTGGTCTACTTATCAATTTAAAGTGGTAAAACATGGGGATCATACACTTCAGGCTGCAGATTTGTAGCTCACCGGTCAAAAATAAAAAAAACCTGGGAGGTATACATATAGGATTTATAGAAAAAATGTTATATAAAACTTATCATAAATTATTTGCAAATATTTCCTGTAAGTAATATGACAGTGTTTCAAAACCCATATAAAATGGTCAAAAATATTATTGCACATTTATAAGAATTACATGAAGGAAGTTCATAGTCATAAGTATTTATTTTAATTTTGCTTCATTCAGTCAGACACTGCAGGCACATAGATAATTTGTCACTGTGTCCTGCAATTTCTTTTTTAGCTCACCTGAGCCAAAGGCTCAAGTGAGCTTTTCTGATCACATTTTGTCCGGCGTCCGGCTGTCTGTTTAGCTGTCTGTCCGTCCGTCTGTCTGTCTAGCTGTCTGTCTGTCTGTAAACTTTTCACATTTTTGACTTCTTCTCAAGAACCGCTGGGCCAGTTTCAACCAAACTTGCCACAAAGCATCATTGGGTGATGGGGATTCAAGTTTGTTCAAATGAAGGGCCACGCCCTCATTCAAGGGGAAATAATTGGGAATTAATGAAAATTTGCTGGCATGTTTTAAAAATCTCATTTCAAGAACCACTGTGCCAGGAAAGATGAAACTTATGGGAAGCATCCTTAGGTAGTGTAGATTCAAGTTTGTTTAAATCATTAAATCATGTAGGGCAAAGCCACAATGGCTGATCAAAGTTTTACATAAACATATATAAGAAAATTCTTTAAAAATTATCTTCCCAAGAATAGCAAAGCCATGATTGATCATGGGACTACTTTTGGATTTAAACTTTTCAATAATAAACCAATTTCTACTTTTTCCTAGCCATGGTGCTCAGGTGAGCAATGTGGCCCATGGGCCTCATGTTATCTTGACCTTTCCAATGACTTAAAAATTTTCTATTCATTTTGTTTAAAACTCACTTTAAATGAAGCTATTAAAGATATACTTTAAACCAACTTTTATTCGCAACAAATTTATTTCGCGATTAACCAGGGATAAACTAGTTCGCAACGATTAATTTTTGCGATCAAACCTTTTTTTGAATCTGTTGTTAATAGACACAGAGACTTTAAGGACTGGTTCGCGGCAAGAAATATTTGCGATTATGGGGCTCTCGCAAACCTCGCAAAAATTTTTCACATGTGAATAAAAATTGCTTTACAGTATTCATTAAACTTCATACACTTATAATTAAATTTTCATTTTGCAAATTTACATATTAATCCTGGATTAAGGCATTCTTGTCCTGTAGACATATTTCTCTATTTTTATTAAGTCCATTTTGATTTTGCTTCATCTGACCATTTAAGTTTCAGGAGAAATTTAAAGAATAAGTGCATGTAAATCTAAATAACAAAATGCCTGCACATTTACTTAAAACTGCAAATTAAAGGCACAGTTTAAAGACCCTGTGGAGTGCCACCCAGATCAAAAGTCATATATTTGCCAAAGATTTCTGATGCCTGCTAAGATGAAACAGCTTTACTTACATTGATCCGTAATATAAATCTCAATACATTCAGATGTACAAAATGAAAGTCAGTGGGAGATATACCATTAAATGAAAAGCCTTAAATGGCTGGAATGAGATGAGATCTGAATGCATTTCATTGAGCTTTATCCCAAATTTATGTTGTGGATTTTGCCAATTTTGATGCCTATGTCAATGAAATTAGACTTTATTGGTTTGATTTAGTTGCAAAAGGGTTTTTCTTTGCCTCAATAAAATGGAAAAAGCAGGTTTTTTTTTTTAGAGCAGGTTCATTTCCCAGACCTGTATCTAACTGGCCTTAAAGTCCCTTCATAAACCAGATCTTCATTATAGAGAGTCAATTTGCTTCAGTGACTATATGTAGTACATATGTATACATCCATATTTTTTGAATTATGTTCTTAAATTTTTTGTGGATGTATCTATTTTTTTTATCATATTTTTAAATTTCTTATTAAACTGTTTCCTATAAAGGAATGATTACTGGTCAAGGAATGTAATAAAGTAAAACTTAGAATATTTCCTCCAGATTTTTATATCCTCTGTAC